ACTGGGGTACACAGACAGGATCGGCGGTGCAGGGTTGTTACTCATCTGGACTGGGGGTCCCCAGTGATGCTTCCCCTCAATATAGGGTGGCCCCTTTGGACTCTGCCTCTTGTAGCCCTGGATGGGAATGTTAAAAACGAAGGGCTATCGCCTATTTAGAAAGGATAAAATGGGCAAAAGGGGAGGGGCACTGCAGGGGCGATGGGGGGAGGGCCAAAGGGTCATGTGTCCCCTCAAACTCTCATCTGGACTGGGGGTCCCCAGTGATGCTTCCCCTCAATATAGGGTGGCCCCTTTGGACTCTGCCTCTTGTAGCCCTGGATGGGAATGTTAAAAACGAAGGGCTATCGCCTATTTAGAAAGGATAAAATGGGCAAAAGGGGAGGGGCACTGCAGGGGCGATGGGGGGAGGGCCAAAGGGTCATGTGTCCCCTCAAACTCTGGGTCAGGGGGGAGGGAGGGCAAAGGGCCGGCAGCCAGCAGTGTCTACGGAAAAGTTATTTACTTGTTCCCATAACACAAGAACTACGGGTCACCCAATGAAATGAACAGGCAGCAGGTTTAAAACAAACAAAAGGAAGTTTTTCCTCACTCAGCGCACAGTCAACCTGTGGAACTCCTCGCCAGAGGATATTGTGAAGGCCAGGACTTTAATAGGGTTCAAGAAAGAGCTAAATAGATTCACGGAGGTTAGGTCCATCAATGGCTATTAGCCAGGATGGGTAGGGACGGTGTCCCTGGCCTCTGTTTGTCTGGAAATGGGTGACAGGGGAGGATCACATGTTCTGTTCGCTCCCTCTGGGGCTCCTGGCATTGGCCACTGTCGGCCGACAAGACACTGGCAGGATGGACCTCTGGTCTGGCCGCTCTGATGTTCTTCTGTCCATTGGCCAGTTTGGGGAAACACTCCAGGCCCCACACTTTGGTCTGACCTGCCCTTGCACTCACCTTCAATGGGAAGTGGAGTGACCTGGCCCCATCCTGTTCCATTTCCCCGGCTCCCAGCCATGTCCTTTGGGGGAGGAGCCTTGGGGGAAGGCATAGAGTGGGGGCGGGGCAGGAGTGGGCCAGGGGGTGGGGTGGGACAAAGCGAGGCCCGGTTGGGGGGAGTTATCCCAGACCGTGCACCCTCCCAGGGAGGGCCCTTCCCGGGGCGAGGGATGGCGTGGGGAGGAATCCCGAGGGAGGGGTCCCTCTCCAGCAGGGGCCACTGGAGCATTGAACCTCAAAAATATTTCCGAGTCCCTGATAAGTCCCAAGAAAATGACTTTGAAGGCCCCTGGAGCCCTGTCCTGATAAAGCATCAGACGGGAGTTTAGCTGCTGTCTGCTCCAGAGTACCACATGACACTAGGCAACAGGACAATCCGCTCCTTGCCCGCCTCACATCCGCCCATGTGCGGAATACATTTTGTTCTGTGCACAAAGGCCCGTGCGAATGTGCACCACTGGGAGGAACCAAAAGCCGAGCAGTGATCATGGGGAACTCCTTTGTGAGTGACACACAGGGGATGTCTCATACTGCCCGGAAAAAAACATCCATGGAATTTCGACATCTCCTTGAGGACGATTTCCTAGCCCAAGAGGAATTGTTCCATTGAGGGCGGGGAAATTCTCCTAGACCTTCTCTGGACAGGGGAAAAGGAACCAAACACAGAACTAAGAATTAGTGACCACTCGGGGAAAAATCCTGACTTTAATCGTATTTATAACGAGCAAACAGAAGGGACACCAGGCCACTGAGGGGACGTCTAACACTGTGCGGCTATTTCGCACTCTGAAATAGCACATCTACACTGCAGGGAAGCCTCAATGTGAGTCTGAGGCAGGCTCCCTTAATGTAGACGTACGCTCACAATTTAAAGACCCAGCAGGCAGTGGGGAGGAATAACTTAGAATGACTCTGGGAAGGGCTATTCCAAAATAGCAGCAGTGGAGCATCTACATACATCTTATTCCGAAATACTGATTTCAGAAGAGGCGTTATTCCTTGTAGAATGAGGTTTACAGACTTTGGAACAAGCCCCCCGTTTCCTCCAGCTCCAGGGGGGCTGGAGTGCCATCATGGGGTCCCCCAATGCTGGGGGAGGCCCTTAGCCTTGGGGGTCAGATCCAGGCATCCCAGAGGCTGCCTCCAGCGGAATGTGGCTGCCCCCCATGCCTGCCTTCCTGGTGCTCCTGGCTGGGGAGGCTGGAACCATGTGACTTCCTCTCCTTCCCGGTGCTGGGGGAGCCATGCTGTGTGCACACGCCCCCTGGTGTGCTGCCCTGCCTCCTTCCCTCTCCATGGGGGCGGGGCCTCAGCAGAGGGGGTGTGGCTGCAGGTGGGGTTGGGGGCCCCAGCTGTGCCAACCCCCCACGCACAAGCCTGCAAGTCAGAGAGATACACTGCAAATCCATGTTGAGCCCGGTATGTTCAGCGGAGTTGGTGGTGTTTGTTTAGTTGCCTGGTAATCTGCTTTGATCTGTTTGCTAACCCTTAGAATCCCTTGAAATCGAGCTTCTGCAATTATTCAACTTGGTTGTGCTTTGTCCAAACGAACGAGTTTGACTGATGTGCTTGGAAATTGTTGCTCAAAGGCCAGTGGCTGTTTGCATCCCCTCCCCACATTGAAGGGGGGTTGGACCAGGGCAGGACGATACAGGTCTGGGGTAGTAGGCGGAGAAACGGGTGTTCATTTTGCCTGTAGCCTCTCTTGTGTGACATCAGGCAGTGGCTGGCCAGCCTGCATGTAACTGCAGCTGGGTGTGTCCCTACCGGTGTGAATGCTGGCGGAAGTGTCGGACCGGGACCAGGTTCGCAGTTGGTCCGAGCAGCACGGTGCATAGAGGGAACCCAGGTTGGTGAGTTAGAGGGCTAAGTGATACTCAGTTTCAGGTGACACCCTGGCAGGGACTCATCCCAGGATGATCCTTCGATATTGACGGAGCCTTGAGAAGTCCTGCAGAGAGCAAGATTTTTTCGGAGGACACCTTGCTGGGGGACAGACCACAGACCGATTCACCGTTGCTGCTCAGGTTCCGAGAGCAGCTGCCGACTGTTTCAGAGCCCGAGAAAAATATCCCCGTGGTGATAGCCACCTGCTGTGTCCTGTATAATATTTGTGAGGTCATGGGAGAATTTTCTGTACAAGGGGTGTTGCTGTCTGCTCAGTTTGACTAGCCAAACAGTAATGCACTGTGGTCAAAGCAATGCCTATTGTGGCTAACCCCTTACCTCTATCCCAGACCCCTATTCATTCTTACATATCCCAGCATTTTTCTGTGGGTCAGTGGCCTCTGACCCCCAAAAGGGACCTTACCCGTGAATTATAAGGAGCTACAGCCTCCCGGATCTCTCCACATGCAAACCCGCCCAGCATGCTTTCTGGTCCTCTGGAGAAAGGCATCGCTGAAAATTGCAGGACATGGTGGACAGACCAGAAACTACGGAGCTTCTCCAGGTACATGCAGGTCTCCTTCATATTCACAGAGCTACCAAGCCATATCGCCTTCAGCCAAAGACCACACCCCTCTTCAAGGGAGCAAAAAGCCTTTCTGAACCCAAACACAGCAGGAAGAGAGTCAGGAAGAGAGTCACCCGTGCCCAGCTGAACTGGGAGCATGCCCCCTCATCCCAGGACTGGGAGAAGTTGGCGAGGCAGCGAGGAGCCGAGGATGCACTAGCTCAGGCCATCGCACAAGGGGGCTGGACTCAGACCCTCACCTTTCCCCTGGGTCGCAACGTTCCCTCTAATCTGATCCATCCATGTGCGGAATAAATTTTCGATGTGCATCAAGGCCTGGATTCCACCTGGTGTTGCAATCTGGGGGCCCGTTAGGAACAGTATGGTAATTGCTGCACGTCGGTGCCTATCTTGGTGGGAGTGTAGCTGGTAGTATTTGGGTACTGTGTGGTGACGTGCCCTTGGAGTACGCGTGGTCCTACCACACTCCACTCCGGGGCTACGTCTAGACTGGCATGATTTTGCGCAAATGCTTTTAACGGAAAAGTTTTTCCGTTAAAAGCATTTGCGCAAAAGCACATCTAGATTGGCGCGGGTGCTTTTGCGCAAAAGCATCCGTGGCCAGTCTAGACGCGATTTTGCGCAAGAAAGCCCCGATTGCCATTTTCGCCATCGGGGCTTTTTTACGCAAAACAGTTCTTCCCTGTCTACACTGGCCCTCTTGTGCAAAAACATTTGCGCAAGAGGGCTTATCCCTGAGCGGGAGCGTCCTAGTATTTGCACAAGAACACTGACAATCTTACATGAGATCGTCAGTGTTCTTGCGCAAATTCAAGCGGCCAGTGTAGACAGCTGGCAAGTTGCCAGTCTTGCCAGTCTAGACGCACCCCAGGAGAGAAGCAGCAAAGGTGGGTCCGCCTGGTTTGCCTCGAAAAGCAGCCGGGAAGTAGCCAATCAGAACCCATCTGCCCCAGTTAAAAGGAGCTGCGGAGGCTGAGCAGGTCAGTTGCTGGCTGGGACCAGAAGAGTGAGGAAAGGGAGGAGTGAGGGTGAAGAGGAAGGGAAGTGACTACACAGGAAGTGACCTCCGAATACCAACAATAACGAGGGTTGCCAGGTAACCGGTTTTCGCCTGGACAGTCTGTTTATTGTGTCTTCTGTCTAGTAAAAAAACCCAGAAAATACCAGAAACGTCTGGAAAATGTATTTTCGGTTGTTCTCGGACGGAAGGCCATCAGGGACATTTTTCCCTACTGCATCTGGCGGGGATGGGGGGAGTGGGGAGCGCGGGAATTTAAAGGCACAGCAACCTTTTTTTTTTTTTGTGAAAGTCGCTGGCAACCCTAGCAACAACTATTGCAGGAAGCAGTCCTCGGCTGCTTTTTGTAGGGTCAGGACCGGAATAGTAGGTGGGCCCATGTTCCCTCCCTCCCTAACAGGGTGACCTGAACCCCAAAAGGAAGGACTATGGCTTGTTTAGAAGCCCACGTGAAATGTGGGACTTAAAGAGTCTGGTGTGAGGAAGCTCTGGGTACACTGCTCTATACCAGGGCAGACACAAGCTTAACGCTAGCCCAGAAGGGGCCGAGGATGGAGCCTAGAGACCAGGCTAAAGATTGTAACAAGGGCAGAGGGACAGGCCCTGTTGGACCTATTATGCTGGAAGGGATACCTTCTTGTGTGCACCTCCTGATAAGGGCAACAGCCAACAGGGGCCCACGATGAGCAGAGGGAATGAAATGTTGTCTCCGATGTTCTGTCTCATCTTTTCTATCCCTTCATGGGATGTTTTGCCCCCATTCATGTGCGGAATAAATGTTGTTACATGCACCGAGGCAGGTCTGATTGTGCACCACCAGTAGAAACACAAAACCTAGCTCTTGCTCTTCATGTGGGCAGCGTTTGAATCCCTCGGGACTGGTCACACAAGCGCACAACTTGAAAGAAACCCTGGTTTGCACGCCACCGACAGGAGGGGCTCACGAGAGGTGAGCGCGCACCCTTCCATCCCTGCGTACATTTGACAACTACGCTGTTTAGGCACCGGTCCCGTGGGGGTGGAGCACATACCGGAGCTTTACTTTCATTGCCAGGCAGGGAACAGAGAGAGCCTGGAGCATGAAGCTTGGTGTGAGATCTCATGCCTCAGACCAGGTAGTAAAACAGTTGCTCACAAGTTCACAGGCCAGTACGTGAACTTGGCACTGTTGTTGCAAGCGCACTAGACCTGACACCAAAGATTAATGTAAATCTATTCCAGCTACATCCCAGTCTAGTACAGCATGAGACTGTTTGTTTGACAAAACAGTGAACAGGGATGCTTTGTCCAAGGTATCAGGAACAAGGGGAGGTAGCAAACAGATGTCTTGAAATACGGAAGGTGCTTTGTGTGGTATATTCATTTTTTGCCTCCGCCTAATAATTGTGGGGTACCAGCGTTCCTTGTAAGTGGCGTGCTTGTGCAGGAGAGAGCCCAGTGCTGCCAAACAATTAGCAGAGCATCCGCAGCTTGGCTTTTTTCCTCCTGGTGGTGCACACGCCTCGGTGTACATAATTTATTCTGC